TAACTCCTCCCCGAACTTCCCGCTGCCCTGTATCTTGGTCTCTCATTGGCTGTAGGTCATCGCCGATGTGTTTTTCAGTCAGAACTCATTGCACACAGCGTGATTGTGAATCGCCGACAGCTCCAGATATTTAGCATGCCAAATATTTTGCGGGCGTCGACGATTCCCTCAGATCGCGTGTTTGATAATTCACACTGCATGATTGTCACTCGCGTGAACAAGCACCGATTTGCCTCTGATTTCGGGCATTTGTCGGCGATTTCGCAAAACGTGTCGGCGAGTGAAAAATCGGGCTAAAATCGTTCAGTGTGAACTCGGCATTAACTGGGTATGAACATTGGGACGCAGGGCATATCTTGCACAAGATGTTGGTGTCTGACATTACTGTATATATATTTTTCTGTGTGCTCATATTGAATACTGGTGTCACAAAAATATCAACTTATTTTCCAAAAAAAAACTATAAACAATGTTTGCATATAACATGATATATGGATTGATTTTGGAACTGTTAAGTATTAAGTACAAGATTCAAAATTGGATTGTGTAGTAACCTCTATTGGTATTTTTTCCCCTTACAAAATAAATTTGCTTACTCAGTGAACTTTAAAGAATAAAGAAAAATAAATAAATTGGTCCAACGACAGTTAAAGCAAGGAAGTGGAGAGAATGAACAAATGTGAAGAAAGGACAGGCAAAAAAGAAGCTTTCCTACATCTTCACTCTGAGTGTGGAGACAGATGCCAGTTTTAATACCCTGTGTTTTTATTGTCCGTATCTTAGGAGATCAAAGTATCTGGGGCACTTCTAATCCTTGTATTTTCCTGAGTTTAGGTGTATTATTTATTGTAAAAATTTTAGTCTGAAGACTTCATGTCTATAAAATGTGGGGGTGAGGTGTGTGGGGTGGGGTGGGGACCTTAGATTATCTTAAAATGTCTTTAATAAACTTTCTTTAATCAAAAACGAAAGTCAGAGGTTTGAAGACGATCAGATACCGTCGTAGTTCCGACCGTAAACGATGCGGACCCGCGATCCGGCGCGCGTTATTCCTATGACCCTCTGGGCAGCGTGCAGGAAACCACGAGTCTTTGGGTTCCGGGGGGAGTTTGGTTGCAAAGCTGAAACTTAATAAACTAAAAAGATGGATGGTTGAATGCATAGACAGACTGATACATCACATTTGTTGGATGATGATGTCTGTTTTCTTGATCAGCACTTTTCATATATCACAACTGTTCAGTGTTTCCAACCATGTATATATTTTTTTATTTCAGATATATAAATACAAATCTGCTAGCCAAAACATATATACAGTTTGTAAAAATACTGACGTCTATGGAAGCAGAAATACTAAACAAGAAAATTAAATTGCCAACATTATTTGATGGCATTTATTCATGACAATCACATACCGTGTAGGTCACTATAAAGTGTACTCTATTTTCTTCCAGTTCACCTTCAACATACAGTGCATCCGGTTAAGTACTCACAGTGCTTCACTTTTCTAAATTTTATGTTACAGCCTTATTCCAAAATGGATTAAATTCATTATTTTCCTCAAAATTATACAAACAATACCCCATAATGACAATGTGAAAGTACTTTGTTTGAAATATTTGCAAATTTATTAAAAATAAAAAACGAAAAAAATAGCACATATACATAAGTATTCACAGCCTTTGCTCAATACTGTGTTGAAGCACTTTTGGCACCAATTACAGCCTCAAGTCTGTTTGAGTATGATGCTACAAGCTAGGCACACCTATTTTTGGGCAGTTTCTCCCATTCTTCAGGACCTCTCAAGCTCCATCAGGTTGGATGGGGAGCGTTGGTGCACAGCCATTTTCAGATCTCTCCAGAGATGTTCAATCGGGTTCAAGTCTGGGCTCTGGCTGGGCCACTCAAGGACATTTCACAGAGTTGTCCCATAGCCACTCCTTTGTTATCTTGGCTGTGTGCTTAGGGTTGTTGTCCTGTTGGAAGATGAACCTTTCCCCCAGTCTGAGGACCAGACCGCTCTGGAGCAGGTTTTCATCACGGATGTCTCTGTACATTGCTGAATTCATCTTTCCCTCGATCCTGACTAGTCTCCCAGTTCCTGCCGCTGAAAAACATCCCCACAGCATGATGCTGCCACCACCATGCTTCACTGTAGGGATGTATTGGCCAGGTGATGAGCGGTGCCTGGTTTCCTCCAGACATGATGCTTGCCATTCAGGCCAAAGAGTTCAATCTTTGTTTCATCAGACCAGAGAATTTTGTTTCTCATGGTATGAGAGTCCTCCAGGCGGGCTGTCATGTGCCTTTCATTGAGGAGTGGCTTCCATCTGGCCACTCTACCATACAGGCCTGATTGGTGGAGTCCTGCAGAGATGGTTGTTCTTCTGAAAGGTTCTCATCTCTCCACAGAGAAACACTGGAGCTCTGTCAGAGTGACCATCGTGTTCTTGGTCACCTCCCTGACTAAGGCCCTTCTCCCCCGATCATTCAGTTTGGCTGGGCAGCCCGCTCTAGGAAGAGTCCTGGTGGTTCCAAACTTCTTCCATTTACAGATGATGGAGGCCACTGTGCTCATTGGGACCTTCAATGCTGCAGAAATGTTTCTGTACCCTTCCCCAGATCTGTGCCTCGATACAATCCTGTCTACAGACAATTCCTTGGACTTCATGGCTTGGACTGAATTTACCACAGGTGGACTCCAATCAAGTTGTAGAAGCATCTCAAGGATGATCAGTGGAAACAAGATGCACATGAGCTCAATTTTGATTGTCATGGCATTGGCATTGCATGGCATGGCATTTTTTTTGTTTTTTGTTTTTAATAAATTTGCAAAGATTTCAAACAAACCTCTTTCACATTGTCATTATGGGGAATTGTTTGTAGCATTTTGAGGAACATAATGAATTTAATCAATTTTGGAATAAGGATATAACATAAAATGTGGAAAAAGTGAAGTGCTGTGAATACTTTCCGGATGCACTTTCATGACTTTTGTACTTTCATGAAAAATTGAACTCTCCTCTGAACTCTTAACTGCATTATAGCATAAACAGACAGTGCCCATAGCCCAATACTATGACCATTATAAAAGTATTTAAAACAGAATATTTACTAGCATTTACCAGCACATTTGAGAAGCAGAATATCAGGTTTTTGACAATTTAGTTAAGTATATGCATACTGTGAATAAAAAACACACCATCAACTTATCTGATGCAACACATGACATACCAAATGCTCCTTCAGAACCTACTTTCATATCCCAGTGCCTCCACTTGTGTCTAAAATTGTTTCTCGTGTTTACTAAATTTGTGTATAGTCCTGTTAATGTTACTATAAGTCTGATCCTTGTCACAAACATTTCAGTGCCCAGTTCCCTATAGTGTAGCTATGCAAATAACAAATAAATACCTTTTGACTCTTGAACAGAAAACAACAACAACAACAGCCAATTCTGTGAATCATTTAAAGAAAGTGATTGCACAATTCTTTTCTACAGCCATTTTTTTCTTCTTTCTTTCACAACAAAGAATGAGCATTGGAATAATTAATATATATTTTTTTTTTCCACTGATCTATTTAAACAAGGGAAATGTCTGTAAAAAAATCATGCTGGGGCCTCACTTATAATACTTTAAATTTACATAAGATTTAATGATTAAAGTATGCGTAAGTATATTTTTTCCACTGATCTATTTAAACAAGGGAAATGTCTGTAAAAAAAATCATGCTGGGGCCTCACTTATAATACTTTAAATTTACATAAGATTTAATGATTAAAGTATGCGTAAGTTAGTTAGAAATCTTCTCTTTGTTGTTGAATCTCACACAGAGTCAGTGAGGACTCATAAACCCTGAATCCGGCATAGAGGGGTTCAGTGAATGTGGTATTGAATGTGTGTAAGTGTGTGAGTGTGTGTGTGTCAGAGACACTGTAGAAGGACAGAGAGCCGGCCGACACGTCCAGATACACTCCTACTCTATTAGACAGTGGCGAAGGGGCAGATAAGTCAGTTCGTTTATTATTGTGCCAGACAGTGAATCTGTTATCAGAGAAGTCCAGACTCCAGGATTTGTCATTGTATCCAAACCTACAGTCACTCCCTCCCTTCCTTCCGATTTCTTTATATGCCACTGCTGCCTGACCCCAGCCGCTCCATTCAACCTCCCAGTAAGAGCGTCCAGTCAGACTCTCTCCACACAAAACCCGCTCACCACCAACAAATCTCTCTGGATGATCAGGATACGGCTGCGGCTCTTTCACATATGTTGCCCTCCTGTTCTCATCAGTCAGAATGATGTAATTGTTTGCTGTGTTTGGATCCAGTGTGAGATCACAGGCATCTGAACACAAGATGACAGATGAGAAATGTGTCAAAATAGTTTGCAACACTTTTACATATGTACAAGAGACAGAGAAAGAAACAAGACCTACATTTTCTCAGTCTTGGAGTGATTCTAAAAGGGCCCCCATGGTCCAGACTAAAGAGAGAAAATGTTTGATTGTGAATGTAGATGTTTGATTATTTAGAAAGTAGACAAGTAATACTAAGAATATGAGTAACAATCACTGATCTATGCTAACAACTCAAAACCCATCTAAAGTTTATTATACATCAGTGCTAATATTAACGGTCTATGTCCACATCTTTTCTACCTACAATAAGACATATTTAAAGTTGTGTAAAAGCTGGATTATATAATATATACACAGTAAATTCCTGAGTGTTAAATTAATACTGCTTGGAGCATATATGGTCCCACTCTAAAAGAGTGTTAAAGTTAATGAGATAATTATACAACAACAGACACAGATAGATCAACAGACAGATCATCTACAGACACATAACTACAGCCTTTCTCTGTCACCATGCAGCCACACAACCTACACTGTAAAAAATGATACACTATATTTACTCAATAACATTTTTATTAAAATTGTAAAACAGATTACAAACAATATTATTAATTAAATTCAACACATAAGAATTAATTAGAATTAATCAAATGAGACGCTTACAAATTAACCATTCAAAATGAGTAAAATAGCACAAAAAATTAAGTAAAATGTAAACAAAAATATTCATTGGACAAAAAAAACACTATGCTAATGAATAGTATATGTTTGCGAGGTCAGTAGTTGGCGATCAAGAAACACCCCACAAAAGCATAATATGCATGCACATGACATAAACTTATAAATAGCACAAAAAATTAAGTAAAATGTAAACAAAAATATTCATTGGACAAAAAAAACAAAAAAACACTATGCTAATGAATAGTATATGTTTGCGAGGTCAGTAGTTGGCGATCAAGAAACACCCCACAAAAGCATAATATGCATGCACATGACATAAACTTTTTCACAAATTCACATTTTTGTTGTTTACATGGAGATGATACAGGCATTGTGTTCAAAAGCTTGTGTTTTCAGGCCCCCAAAACAGAGTTATTGAAGACACCTGATCAAGGCTCTTGACCCTTGACTTTTCAAAATTAGATATTATTTGGCTACTGTAATTGAGTTATAACAAGACAAGCCAAGATAAAAGATGGTTGTGTGGTGTTTGTTATGTTTTGACCACCATCATTTGACCTGAATCTCTGAGTTGGGTGTATCTTATCGGTTATAGTCTTTCTGTGATTTTACAGTATAAGGTCTGGAATTTTCAGCATGAATATATTATGAGCTGAATTGTCTTAGTAATTTATTTTATTCTTACTAATTTCTTTTATGTTTTGCTGATTTTATGTGACTTTTTAGTAGCTTGTTTTGTGATGTTCAGAGTTGATCTGTTTATCTTAATATGCTGTTTGTCACTGTTGTTGAGATTCATACGCTGGTTATTGATGTCAGTGTGTGCCTAAAATAACGTTTTTTTCCCCCCTACATTTTTGATCAGAACAATTTTTAAGAAAACCTTTGGGTCATATTGGAAATTCTAGGTCTTATATTGTAACAGGCATTGTGTTCAAAAGCTTGTGTTTTCAGGCCCCCAAAACAGAGTTATTGAAGACACCTGATCAAGGCTCTTGACCCTTGACTTTTCAAAATTAGATATTATTTGGCTACTGTAATTGAGTTATAACAAGACAAGCCAAGATAAAAGATGGTTGTGTGGTGTTTGTTATGTTTTGACCACCATCATTTGACCTGAATCTCTGAGTTGGGTGTATCTTATCGGTTATAGTCTTTCTGTGATTTTACAGTATAAGGTCTGGAATTTTCAGCATGAATATATTATGAGCTGAATTGTCTTAGTAATTTATTTTATTCTTACTAATTTCTTTTATGTTTTGCTGATTTTATGTGACTTTTTAGTAGCTTGTTTTGTGATGTTCAGAGTTGATCTGTTTATCTTAATATGCTGTTTGTCACTGTTGTTGAGATTCATACGCTGGTTATTGATGTCAGTGTGTGCCTAAAATAACGTTTTTTTCCCCCCTACATTTTTGATCAGAACAATTTTTAAGAAAACCTTTGGGTCATATTGGAAATTCTAGGTCTTATATTGTAGAATCACAGGGAAGTTGTAGTCAAAGTAAATTGAACTAAGAGATTAGGCTTTAATGAGTTCAGGTCAAATGATAATTATGCAAAAACATTACCAACACCACCCAATCACCTTTTCTCTTGTCTTGTCTAGCTGTTATATAATTTACATCAGCCAAACAATATCTAATCTTAAAAAGTCAAGGGTTACCATCCTAATGGTAACCTAAAATTGTTATATTCTCCTTCAGTGATTCTGTTTGTTAACATCAGGTGTCTTCAATAACTCTAATTAAAAAAAATAGGTTACCATTACTGTGGTCAGTGTTTGCTTTAGTTGGGCTCTTGACCCTTGACTTGTTAACATTAGATGTATTTTGGTTGGTGTAACTGAGTTTAGGGGGCTGGAAAACACAAGTTTTTGAACATGATATCTGTATCATCCCTGTATAAACAACAAAAACGTGAATTTGTAAAAAAGTTGCGATCATGTGCATGCTTATTATGTTATTGCGTAGTGTTTCTTGATTGCCAACTACTGGTCTGGCATGCATAACATAGTATTCATTAGCATATGTTTTTTTTTTTTGTCCAATGAAGCCAATACTTTTTGTTTCAATTTTAGTTATTTTTTGTGCTATTTTACTCATTTTGAATGGTTAACTTGAAATCATCTCATTTGATTAATTGTAATTAATTATTATGTGTTGAATTTAATAATATTGTTTCTAATCTCTTGATACACTTTTATTGAGTAAATATAATGTATCTTTTTTTACAGTGTACAGATATAGACATTAAATCAGAGATTGGGATCTTATGTTACAATATAACTTTTAATGCTTCATTAGCAAAAACTGATACCACACAGCATGCATACCAGGGGCAATTCTAGGAATATCCAAACCACACATGCACACATCTGTCCCCTACACAAACACACAAACACACACACACACACACACACACGTTATTGTGTTGATACGTTGGACTAGGTCTCTCTGACTTCAGAGGATTTTCTGGTTCACAGGAATTAACATAAATTGAATTTTCCATTAAAGGACAATGTTTGCACACCTAACCAGGTGTATTTTTGATTTATAAGGGCATTTTTCTTAACCTCACTAAATGAAAATTCTTAAATTTCGTGAGTGAGTGAGTGAGTGATGTGACGGCCAAGTATGGTGTCCCATACTCTGCATTTGTGCTCTGCATTTCACCCATCCAAGTGCACACACACAGCAGTGAGTAGTGAACACACACACCATGGACACACACCCGGAGCAGTGGGCAGCCATTTGCTGAGCAATTAGGGGTTCAATGCCTTGCTCGGGGATGTTGGAGAGGGTGTAGGAGAGCGCTGTTCATTCACTCCCCCCATCTACAACTCCTGCCGGTACTGAGATTTGAACCCATTACTTTCATGTCCAACTCTCTTACCATTAGGCCCCAGCTGCCCCAATAGAATAAATTAAATAATCAAGACAACACTATAGGGAAGTTACCAATCAAATTAAATCTGTATAAACCATATCCATTTTTGCACTGCAGAGATGGTAATGAAGCTGTATCTGGATTGTTATTATTTACTTGATTTATTTAATGCAGCCAAGAAGTTACATAAATATATTTACACTATAATTACAATTTATTTCAAAAGATTCATGCTTTAAAAATTACATTTTAAATGCTGAAATATTTTGTAAATTAAATTATAGTAAAAGTGTGGAATTAAACTGCCAGCAGGTGGCACAAAATTTTAAACATTGAATAATTCATTCAACCAATTTGTTTAAATGGTCGATTCATTCAGGAAAAAAGCAACTGTCAGGCTGCATTCGAAATCACATACTTCCCTCGCACAGACCTTGTGAGCAAGAAAGTAACAGATCAGCCCAAAAGGACTTGAGAGCCTGGTGCTGAATCCATGTCCACACTATAATACCTTATGAATATTAGGACTGTGCGATTTGGGGAAAGTATCTAATTGCGGTTTTTTTTTTTTGACAGATACTGTATTGCGATTGCAATGTGATTTGCGATTTTAATTTGGCAAAGTCAAGCTTCAGCTCAATATTGTCAATAGTGTGCAGCCCAGTATGGGTATCATTACCCTGTGGAAAAAACAAAACAAAAAACAATAGAGTTTAGGGCATTATTTCAATTTGAATGACTGTTGTTCTATTGGTTCCCATATGCCAGATTACATCCCACCAATATAATCCATCAAATACCAGTAGACACCATTATAATATACATTAATACCAATACAATTCCCATTATATCCCTTAAATCCATTAACATTTCTTTTGTATTTTTATTTTTTTTTTCAGCAGGGAAGATTATAATGGTATTACTGCTCTTACAGAATTTACTTAATTACTGAATTTCACAGGAAAGATTTGTTTATTTTGTGTAAATAAAGAACTGTATTACTTTAGTCAATTATTAAAGTATTACATATGTTACATAGGCTGATTTATTCATTTTTTTAGTATTTGGGATTTTAAGAACAAGTGGAAAATGTGCTGAATGTTTCATTTCATCCAAGTGAAATTAGCAAAGCAGTTAGATTGAATTTACATTTGTTTTAAACGCGGAGCCAGGCGCGAGTTAACACAGGTTGCACACGTGCGTCAAGCTTCGTCCATATTGCCAGATGCGCTCGTGGAGACTTGCGGTGTGGAGCCGGGCACGAGTAGGCTATAAATGAGCATTACGAAACAGGCTGCGTGTGTGCGGCAAGTGTAAATGGCTCGTCCGTGAGACACGGGATATACGTGCCACGCGGGGCAGAGAGGAGCTAGTATGGGAAGCATTCAGAGATACAGGCTGTGTGTGCGGTCTTCTGAATTGGGAATAGCGAACATGCATTATAAACTTATTTCATACTAGAATCTGTTGGGGAGATAAAATGTGTAAGATAATGTTCATGTACTATTAAAACATCTAAGAATGTATATTTTATTATCCAGTACTGAAAGCAGAACTGATAAGGGGAGCTCTTGTTATGTGTTGACACAGCTCTTGCAAATTACCTTTTTGGTTCGGTGTCTGTCATTTCGAAGCCGAATCTCATATTGCATAAGTTTTTCTTTAGTATTTATTTGCCTAACTATCGATCTGACCTGGTAGACGCCATAATCCCCCCCTCTCTCTCTCTCTCTCTCTATCTCTCTCTCTCTCACTCACTCACTTTCTGATTGATTTTTGTGGGGTTTTTTGTTTGTTTTTTATGGTGGGCATTTACATAGTTGGCTAGAGCAGTGCTGACTGGGGAGAACGAAGGTGCACTCACTCAATTGGTTAGTAAGGCTGCCACTCAAGGTGGGCAGCCATGCATTTGCTCTGCAACAGAGTTATATCGCGTCCAAATCGGAGGCTTTGCGATTAGCAAATAGCAACGTCTCAAATCGCGATTACTATTCAATTTTGATTAATCGCTCTCAGCCCTAATGGATTTGTACGGAGAGGACCAGCCTACCACAGTACAAACATCTTGCAAAGACAGAGCCTTGGATAGCACCTTTGAGGAAATCACATGATGGGCATGAGGGTTCTGATACCTTGAGGCAACGCAATACTGCAAAAGATATTGCATTAGTAACCGAATGCAATAATTTCTGCTTGTTGGCAGCAGAACATCAGTTGCACCCACCAAAGCAGATGAAGATTTTATCAGATTTAAACTACTGGCCTGAATAGTGAGCAGAAATCCTAAGGGCCCTGACTGGATAATCTCTTTCTCTGGCAAGTCAGACAGAAGAAAGCCTGAAGAATGACAAGGCAAAGAAGACACCTTAGTGCAGGATGCAGCCACTGAAAGGGCCTACATGTTTCCTACTCTCTTGAGCAATGCAATCACCAATAACAGAGCTACCTTGAGAGTTAGAAACTTCTCAAGGACTCAACAGGAGCATCCAATAAGCTGTCCAAGACTATGGCAAGGTCCTAGGTAGTAGAGCCCTGCATTTCAGCCCAAGCCAGAAAGGGCCAAACTTATTTACGCCCCTAGGGTTGGGCTTCGGGCCAATTTTCACAACATAACACAGACACTGGCCAGTTTTGTCAGGGCTTCTACTTATTTTTATATTTGAGTAATTACCATGAATGTGTTGAGAGGAAAATAGTAAGGAGATATTTTAATTATTAAGTTAATAATGCCGCATAAACAGTTATTATGTTCCTAACAGCTCATATTTATCTAGGTTAAATGTTTGAACTAACATTGTGATATGCTTGAAGTGCTGAATGATTTATAGATTTTATTTTAGGCAATTTGTGTTGATTTGAGAAGGACAAATTGATGAAACTTGATCAACTCTCTGTCTGCCACTGGCTGCTTGGTCGTCACTTTAAGAAACAAAAACTTGAATTTAAGAAACAAAAATGCTCCAAAGTTAATAAAGAAATTAAATGGAATATAACCACTTTGCCACTAAAAACAAAACTGAACTATTTTAATGGCTGCAACAGCATACTGTGTAATGGGGAAGAGAGAGAGAGAGAGAGAAAAAAAAGACACGGGCTCCAGTTGGATTTGGGCCAAGAATTCTGGTAAGCTGTTGGACAAGGGCCGGGCTAGGGCCTGAGCGTCCCGGGCCAGGGCTGGGCTAGGCCCTAGATTTGAGGCCTGTGTAGGACTCTAATAGGAAGGAACTTGCAGTCTGCAAATAGGTCTCAGTCATCTGGCACCACACAAGAAACAGGATACTACAGGATACCATGACCACGTCTGCCCCATGGCATCCATCCCTAATAGAGCTGGAGATGTGAGGGAAAACCAGAGGAGACAGTGGGTCAACCTGGCTGAGGCGAAAAAGTCTATTTAGGTTCGGCCGTACCTCTGCCAAATTAACTTATGCTGCCCACAGCAGCAAGAATTGACTCCACTCATGCTAGAGACACATTGTGGTCAAATCCCATAACACCAGTGGTAGTCTGACTTGGAGAAAACACACTTTTTTCTGGTTCAAACTCAGACGCAAGCTCCTTAAGTAAACGAGAACGACATTTTGATGTTGAGCAGATCTAGAATTGGATGCAACCCCTCATCCCTCTTGGGGACCAGAAAATAATGGCTGTGAAGGCGGAAGGGAAAGGGAAACATATTCTATGGCCCCTAGCTTCAGCGTTAACAATGGAATCTGCTCTAGCTTCACTGTGGTGGAGAGCACACCCCTGAAACGAGGATAATGAGTATGGAACTGATTGTATCACCATTAGTGTCCCACTTCGCATTCTGCTGTCCCCCTCCAGTGTTAAGCTGGATGTGCTAGTGCTAAAAAGGGTATTAGCATGAATCCCTAAAAGGTCCATGAGAGGACGAGGAATGGCACGCCTGGCAGAGATTGCAAATAATAATAATAATAATAATAAGCATTTTCTCGCCTGATGCTCATTTTTCTCCTCTGGCATAAGTCTGGAGATAGAGTACATTTAATTGTGTCAACATGTTTTTACACACCTCAGTATCTCCAGCTGACAATTTTGACTCTTCAGTCCATCAGAGAGCAGCTTCACTCCTGAATCCTGCAGGTCATTGTTGCTAAAATCCAGCTCTCTCAGGACAGAGTTTGAGGATTGAAGAGCTGATGACACAATTTCACAATCCAGAGCAGTGAGATTACAGCCAGCAAAACTATGGAAAAAAATACAAGGAAAGAGGATGTTACTAATTTTTTATGAGTGTATCAGCCAAGGACAAGTGAAGCATACAAATGCCATGTGATTTTTAGATATTGTAAATCTTTTAAAATATTTTATCACTAATTTAACACTCACTGGGCTTTTGTGCAGTTCATCACAGCTATTTTTAGTCTTCTTCTACCCTCATCTGATGTGTTGTATTTCTTGAGGTCCAGCTCATCCAGCGGCTCCTCTGACATCTGAAGCATGTAGGCGATTGTTGAGCAGTGAGCGGCAGAGAGTTTCTTCTCTGAGTGTTTGTCTGATTTCACAAACTCCTGAATCTCTCTGGACAGAGTCTGATCTTTCACTTCCAGCAGACAGAGGAACAGATTGATGGATCTTTCAGTGGAGAGTCCATGTCCATCTTTGATCTTCTCAGTAATGTATTGTGTGGTTCTCCTGATGCTCTCTGAGCTGTTCTCTGTGTGTGTCAATAGATCCTGTAAGAGTCTCTGATTGGACTCCAGTGAGACGCCCAGCAGGAACCGCAAGAGATGATCCAGGTGTCCAGTTTCACTCTCAAGGGCTTTATCCACTGCACCTTTAAGCAAATTTTGTACTGAAACAAAATTTTTTAGTCCCTCCATAGTTGTTCTTACATAAAAATCAAACACATGAAAAGCTGCGAGAAACTCCTGAATGCTCAGATGAATGAAGCTGTAGACTTTCCTCTGATGAAACACCCATTCCTCCTTAAAAATTTCTGTGCAAATCCCAGAATATACTGAGGCGTCAGTGACGTCTATGCCGCTCTCATTCAGGTCCTCCTCATAGAACATCACATTGCCCTTCATCAGCTGTTTGAAAGCCACTTCAGCAAGTTTCACAATCACTTCTCTGTTGGACTGCAGGTGTTTCTCTTGATCTCTCTCTTCATACTTCTGGTTCCTCATGTTGATCTGAATCAGCAGGAAGTGGATGTACATTTCAGTCAGCGTTTGAGGGATTTCCGCACTCAGATCTTTTTCCAGGAGCTTCTGAAGCACAGTGGATGAGATCCAGCAGAAGACAGGGATGTGGCACATGATGTGGAGGCTTCTTGCTCTTCTGATGTGTGAGATGATTCTGCTGGCTTGATGCTGGTCACTGATTCTCTTCCTGAAATATTCCTCCTTCTGAGGCTCAGTGAATCCATCAATTTCTGTCAGACGGTTGATGTATTTGGAGGGGATCTGATTGGCTGCTGCTGGTCTGGAGGTGATCCAGATGAGAGCAGAGGGAAGCAGCTCTCCTTTCATGAGGTTTGACATCAACACAGCCACTGATGAAGTCTCAGTCACATCACAAACTTTCTGAGCGTCTGAAAACATCAGTGTGATTCTGCTTTCATCCAGACCATCAAAGATGAACACAACTTTACACTCCTCATAAATCTGTAAGTCCAGATCTTGAAGTTCAGGATGAAAGTCCAGCAGAAGTCTGTGAAGACTGTACTGATGATCTCGGATCAAGTTCAGCTCTCGAAATGGAAGCACAAACATGAAATCTACATCCTGATTGGCTTTTCCCTCGGCCCAGTCCAGAATGAACTTCTGCACAGAGACGGTTTTTCCGATTCCAGCGATGCCTTTAGTAAGAACAGTCTTGATCTGGTCTTTCTCCTCACATCCTGGTTCAGGTGAGGATTTAAAGATGTTATTGCAGTAGATTGCAGTGTCTTGTGAGTGTTTTGTTCTGCCTGTTTTCTCCATCTGTAAAACCTCATGTTCTTCATTCACTCCTTCACTCTCTCCCTCTATGATGTACAGCTGTGTGTAGATCCTGTTCAGGAGGGTTTCATTCTCTTGGCATTTGATTCCCTCAAATAATCTCTCATACTTGTTCTTCATGCTGTTTTTGTGCTTGTCTTTGCCTCTCTGAAGGTGATCATTCACTGGTTGGCCCATGACGGCTACTTGTGTGTCATCTACCCTGAGTTCAGAGGGCACTGGTGCATCGCTGAAGTCAGTGGGTTGAGACATAGATCTGTTACTCTTCACAGACACAGAACAGGTTTCTGAAGACTCTGATCCCTGTCTTCTGCTAATGCTGCCAAAAACAAACAAAACAACATCGTATCCATACATGTTGCATAGCTTAAATGAACTTCAGATTTACATTGATTCATTTACAAATAAGAAATACCAAAACATTTTTCCTGTGACAAGAGAAGTGCTGTAGACATCTGAAGATTGTTCAGATGTGTACATAATAGATATTAATGTAATAAATATTATACAGATTGCAGAGAAAAAGTACAGATACTTATTTTCTCATTTGTACTACTACTAATATTTGATTAGAGAGAGACAGAGCTTCTTTAAGCCTCTGGGGTCTGAGGGGCTTTTGAGGACCTGGATAAGTTTTGACATGTTTGCACTTTGACATTTGTGCTTTTTTTCAGTATCTTAAAAACATGTAAATGGCCAAAGTCTGATTACACTGTATTCAGCACAAACTGAGTTACAATAATATGTAAGCAACATTAATGTACATGTTTGTGTTTTCGAGAAAACAACGTTTATGTGTGGTTAGTGAAAAAATAAAAATAATGAAGTCACTGAAATGAGGCCATAGAATACATGCAGTAAATTTTTTTCACAAGACTTAAGAACTGGATGTGGTAGACTAGATTTTTTGCTATAAAATCATGTGAAAATCATCCTGCTCACTCGTTCACAAAAAAAAAATATATATATATATTGATTGAACTTCTGAAGAGACGGCAGAAAGTTCACCCTGTTTGTTTTCTTTATTTTACAAAAGCACATTGTTTTGTTATTATGAGGCTATACAAATAAAGGTAGACCCTTTTAGATTCAAATGATGTATTGCTCTTATCTGTACGATAAAAAATGAGTCATTTGCGTTCTTTTTGGCGATATTAGGAAAATAACACAAAACATGTCGGCACGTTTGCCGACCCTAGAGACAGGATTCAGTCAAGTGTTCACAGAAAATTCTTTAGACTTTACTTGAAATAGGACTTCACTTCAGGTAAAAACTCTGCCAAATGTTAAAATGGCTAGTGTCTTACCTGGGGTCAGAGGTCAATGTTCCATCACTGAATTTAGGAGGATCATTCTTCATGGATGCATTACTCTTTGTAGACATACAGCTTGATCCAGGAGACGGAGAACCCATTTTAGAGGCAGTGCCCTCATCTTCTCTCACATTATGGAGACTCATTTTAAAGTCACTGTCTTCACAGTCTTAAAAAGAATGTTGAGAGGTTAATTTTGGACCTTTTATTGGGAATCAGAGCTTAAAAGTTTTTGTAATACTGTGAAGTTGCTTTAATCCATAGTATTTTTTTTTAAACTGAAGTACAGCCACATTAAATTCTTAATGTAAATGACATACCAATCTAATTACCTTCTTCATAATTTGATAAATTAATACTAGTTCTGTCATGACAACTCTGGGAGGGATTGGCATGGCACATGACAATGTTAATGTATTTGGTCTAGACGGAATAGATCTGCTACGCTGCTGCTGCTGCTGCGGCAGAGCAAATGAATTAGACCTATCGGACTGTGCCATCTAGAGTTTCAGGCCAGAACTCTGTATTTCATTCTAGCATAAACAAATATGGTTGTTTAAAAGATGTATTAACTTTCCATTCATGCTGAAATGATTATTTGTGGATCAGAGTTCCTTGTGCCTGCCTCCTTGTGCTTTGGTCATCATAAAATAATTGCTTCTACTGAAATGAAAGAGACTGTGCCTTTAAAGTATAATTTCTGCAAGACAGACAGTCACATGCCAAAGGCACATCATCTGAAGAGAGGAACTGACACTCAGTCACACCAAAATGCCAAAACCACATCATCTGCAAAGAGGAATTGTTACTCAATAACAGCAAAACACTTATACATAATGATGGGTGATGAGGATATCAGACAGGATTGTTAAGATACTTCACAGGAACTTCTTTTGTGTTTGTTTTTATTTATTTTTAATAATTAATTTGTATAATATAAACTTGCTGTCAGTATTTTATGTAATACCCTGACTAGAGGGCATATACATATATATATATATATATATATACTGTATATATATATATATGTGTGTGTGTGTGTGTATGAATATATTTATAACAATATTTATATTATTGCACAGTTCAGTTATTAGTTCATTTCAAACATTGTGAGTTGTTGATTAAAGTATAGATTTTTGAAGTTGTTGATTTTTTTTATACACAGCACATTCATATACTAGTTTTTTAATGTTTATTCAGAGTTTATGTCTGATACAGCAGTGTTAGGAACTGTAAGTCTGGACACAGTTTGGCAAAGTAATATGTTTAGTAATTTACAATAGTTTTTAGTACTAGTAGTTTAACACTAATTTAGTAATTTGGATGGAGTAGACGCAGAGTATTCAGCACTGCTTTTGTACCGAGTCAAATTGATCACATTTGTATTATAGTTAAAACCAATCAATTATACACAAAAATAAATTATATATTTTCAGTGTATAGTCTTTTTATAGTCTTTCAATATTATATATCAATTATATATATTCAGTAAATGGCAAAAATAATTTACTTAAGCAATTTAGTTGTCAATGTTTCTGTTATTTTGGTCAGATCTGATGACCTAAGATTATAAGCAATTATACTGACATATAAGAAGTTAACCAAAAATTGCAAAAAATATAATCATCCGGGTTTGAAATTGCTTGTAAGGAAGAAAAATAAAACAAAAGCTTATTTTCGCAGCATGTTTATATTAAGAATAAGTTCTGAACTTACCACAGAATATGCAGCCGTTTAAATGTTCAGTGTTAACAGTTTTATGCCTTGGAATAGTTTCCTTCATTCTCTTTTACTTTCAGTTCCAGGCATTTGAAAAAAAAAAAAAAGTTATACTCTAGTGGCATAGAGCAGCATTACATTATCAGAGCGGTTTTGCTTTAAAGGGGTCATATGATGCGATTTCAATTTTTCCTTTCTCTTTGGAGTGTTACAAGCTCTTGGTGCATAAAGAAGATCTGTAAAGTTGCAAAGACTAAAGTCTCAAATCCAAAGAGA